GGGGCCCTAGCGAGCCCGGCGGACGCTCCCGGGCCCGGCCCTGGCATCGGCATCGCGGGCTGCATCGCGGCCATGGCCAAGGAGCAGCGGAGGGCGGTCCTGGAGCTGCTGCAGCGGCCGGAGAACGTGCGCTGCGCCGACTGCGGCGCCCCGGGTAGGTTTGGGCCGGGTGGGTGCGCCCGGGATAGGTACGGGCCTGGGTAGGTGCGGGTCCGGGTGGCTGCCGGCTCGGCTCGCGTGGGTGAGGGTCCAGGTGGATGCGGGCCGGGTGCGGTGCAGGCCCCTATGTGTGCGGGCTGGGCCCTGGGGACTGGGAGTGGTGCCGCAGGCGCCTCCGGGGATGGGGGCTCTGGCCTCCTGGCTCGTTTTGTGCTCGGGTGGGGCGTGGGCCCGAGTGCACCTACGGGGACCCTGGGCCCTCCCGGCTGGCCGGGCTGGAAGGTGCCTCTCCACGGGCCCCCCGCCTGCTGCTGTGCCACCTCCTCCCCTCCCCCGCCGGTGCGTGTCTCGCTGTCACCCGCGGACCGCCAGCCGCGTTGCGAAACCTCGGGCTCTGAGAGCAAGGAAAGAGGAAATCGTGGCCGGCGGCTGGCTTCAGGGAAAGAACGGAGGAGCCGGCCTGGGGTTTGCGCGGGTGGGTGTGGGGGGTCCACCTGGCTCCCTGGAGGTGACGTCATGCTCCCCCTACAGGAGTCACCCTCTTGCAGCAGGCTCGGAGCAGAGGGAGGAAGCCCTGCCCAACCTCCCCAGACTGTGAGGAGAGGGTATCCCTGCCAACTCCTTGCACCTAGCTGCTCTGGGGCAGGTGGCCAGGACAGGTGAGGCAGGGGAACAGGTGGCCCCAGAGACAGGCCCTCAGTCCACCTGCTGCCCTTTTCTCCCAGCTGGGCATCTTCCAGATCTGGTGCCTTGGTGGCCCCTGGTCTGGGGTGATTTCTAAGGCTCCAGAGTCCAAGGAGGTACTTCCTCTCCCTTCCTGAGGCTACTTGTCTTGTGATTGGCTGTAAAATGCATGGCTCTCAGACCAGCCCTGACCTGCTCCTGAACTGGCAGACCCAGGCTGGTCCTGACTGTGAGGTGAGGAGCAGGCAGGAAAAGCCCCCAGAGGCCACTGGCTCAGGGGCTGTCCTCCAGGCACACCAGGAATTTGGAGGCTCCTTGCCTGAGCCCTTCAGAACAAGCCTAACTCACCTAGGTCCCCAGGGAAGGAGGTGGGCAGACCTTGCATTTGTTCCCTGAGAAACTGGTTCGAGGCATGCAGTCTCTGGACATCCTGAAAACAGGACCTAGTTCCCGGCTCTCAGCCCTTCACCCCTCGCTGGGCTGGGAGGGGTCTCTGACAGCTTGAGGTCCTGGGAGTCTGCTGGTCAGCCGAAGGTTGGCCCTGAGAGGCCACACCAGTAGTGTGAGTGTCCCAGAGGGAAGGCGGTGACAGACATTTCTGGTTAGCCCAGCAGGGCCGAGGTAGCCTTTCCCCCGCCCTCCTGAGGCAGGGCAGCCGCAGGGCCCTTGCTGATGGTGCAGTGGGGTGGGTCACCTCACTGCTGTGCACTGCCCCTGCCAGCTGGGCCACCTCGCCCAGACTCTCCCCACCTCACTCTCCAGGACCTGTATTTCCACTTGTTCAGGAAAGCAGGCCGTGCCAGAGAGAGGCGGGTGACAAAGGGCAATCAGCTTGTCCAGCTCTCAGGGTTGGCCTGGGGGGGCTGTGGCCTGGGGGAGGGGAGCCAGGCTTGTCACTGTCTCTCTCGTTTCTGGCCACACTGCCAAGGAGAGGCTTCTCTGAACATAAAGCCACTCTGCAGCCACACTCTAGGCCTCCCAGCCTGGCAGGAGGAAGAGGGGACTTCCTTGGCCTGTCGGGCCCTGTAGTGACCCCTTCCCTCCCAGCCCACCCACTCAGCTTCCATCTTGGCCCCTCAGTCTAGGGCCCTGGCCACGCTCAGCTTTGGAGCACAGCCTCGGCTCTCCCAGTGCCCAGCACTTCCTGGCATTAGGCCAGACCTCTGGTTTTTCAAAATTGGCCCATGACATCAGCACCTTGTTTCATCTGTCCAGCAGCCTGTGGAGCAGGCAAGCTGTGGGGGATTGCTCCCACTTTACAGCTGGGAAACTGAGGCCTTGAAAACTTGAGCTGTTTTGAGGGACATGGTGCCCCAAAGGCAGAGCAGGTCTCCTGATGCTCACTGTGCCTAGGTGACCCCTCCCAGCTTTGCCCCAGGGCTGTGGCCATGTTGTGGAGCAGGAAATGTCAGGAGGCAGGGGGCAGCTGTCCTGCGTCCCCCCCCCCCCCTGGCCCCCATGGGATGCTCCTGAGGCCTTGAAAACTTGAGCTGTTTTGAGGGACATGGTGCCCCAAAGGCAGAGCAGGTCTCCTGATGCTCACTGTGCCTAGGTGACCCCTCCCAGCTTTGCCCCAGGGCTGTGGCCATGTTGTGGAGCAGGAAATGTCAGGAGGCAGGGGGCAGCTGTCCTGCGTCCCCCCCCCCCCATGGCCCCCATGGGATGCTCACTCAGGTTCTCTGCTTCTTGGCTGAGGCTAGGCTGGTCTATTCCTGTTCTGTGCTGCTGTGGATGCAGCTGGGACCTCCTGTCTCTGCTGTGGCCTGGATGGGGGACAAGGGGCCACTCTGGTGTTGATGGGGGTTGGGGATGGACAGCATGTTCTGTTGTCATCAGAGCACCGTCATGTGGACTGGCTCATGGCTGCTGTTCCCAACCATGCTTGTGTGAGCAAAGCATCCTTAGGGTGAGGGTCCCCACGGCATCTGCTCTGGCAGCAGGACATCAGGGCAGGCCCAGGCCGCCTCTGACCACCAGGCCTGGGGGTTCCAGGGTAGATTTGGGCAGACTCCCCCTCCCCACCCCTGTTGGCCATATGAAGGCTCCTGGGAAGGAGGCAGCCTGGGGGTCTCTGTGGCCCCCAAAGAAGCTCCTCTGACGCTCTCCCCTTTATCTGTCCCAGTGGTGGACTCCTCCAACCTTGCTCATGGGGCCCCATCCATCACCACCCAGAGAGACTTTTCTCATCACAGGTCTGGGCGGGTGGGTGCATGGGCTTGGGTCCATTCTCCTGTATACCTGGTGGGGGTCTCCATAATGGGTCGGAGTTGGGGGAGAGAGGAGCTGCCTCTATGCTTTCCCTAAGCTGCCTACCTAATTGGAAAAAGTGACAGATTCTCCTCTTTGAGAGTCAGGTCGTCCAATGCCCCAGAAGGAAATTAGCTCTTTAATTGGCTTGGGGTGTGGGTGATAATCCTATGGTCACCTGGGTGTCTGAATCGCCTGGAGCACCAGGTAAAACCAATAGTCCAGGAGCTCCTTGGGCCTTCCAGCTCTGGAGGTCTGGCTCAAGGAGGAAATCTTTGTTTCTAACAAGACTGATCATTTGGGGCCATCGCTTGGGGGCCCTGGTGGTTCAGGAGTTGCTTGTTCATCCACGCCTGGACCTGAGGCCCCAGCCAAATCCAGGCTCTGGGGTGGCCCCAGGACTCAGGGATGACCGGGTATGAGTGACCCTGGGGCCAGTCCAGGACTGAAGTACATGTCTGCAAGGCGCATGGGTTAAACTCAGGCTGCAGACTCCTCATTCAACCCTGGGAGGCTTCAGGGCAGAGGTGATGTTTCAGAAATTGCTGGTAGCAGAGGCAGAAGCACTTTGGCAGGGAAGAGTTTTAGGAATTTGGCCTAGTTTGGGAGAGGGTCCTATGTGCTGGTGGGTGGGTGGCAGGGGGCTGCTGGGTGGTGGGTTGGGCAACCTGCCCCTCCCCTTCCTGGAACAGCAGCCCACCGGGTTTGTTTTTTTTTTTTTAATTGTGATAATATATATATATAAAACATAAAATTTACCCTTTTAGCCACTTTAAGGGTACACTTGAGTGGCATTAAGTACATTCACACTGTTGTGCAGCCATCACCAATGTCCATCTCCAGAACTTGTTCATCTTCCCAAGCTGACACTCTGTCCCCATTGGACGACAGCCCCCAACTCCCCCTCCCCAGCCCCTGGCACCCACCATTCTACTTTCTGTCTCTATGAATCTGAGTCCTCTAGGGACTTCATATAAGTGGAATCCTACAGTATGAGGGGTCTTCAAAAAGTTCATGGAAAGATTTGTATTATCTTTTAATTCCATTTTTCCATGAAATTTTTGAAGTCCCTTTGTATCTGTCCTTTTGTGCCTGGCTTATTTCACTTAGCATAATGTCCTCGAGGTTCATCCATGTGTAGCACATGTTGGAGTTTCCTTCCTTTTTAAGGCTAAAAAATATTCCAGTGTGCGTATAGACCATATTTTGTTCGTCGGCTCATCTGTAGATGGACACTTGGGTTGCTTCCATCTTCTGGTTATTGTAAACAATGCTGCTATGAACGTAGGTGTGCAAATACTTCTTGGAGACCCTGCTTTTGATTATTTGGGGTACATACCCAGAAGTGGAATTGCTGGATCACGTGGTAATTGCATATTTAACTGTTTGAGGAGCCACCAGACTGTTTCCCCTACCTGGTTTTGTGCTCAAGCCACAGGTAAAGGATTCATGTGCCTGCCCACCCCGCGGCCAGGTATGGAGGGTTGGTGCTGCAGCAAGTTGGCTCTCAGGGCTGGGAGGAGCTGGAAGTCTTTCCCTCTGTCCACGTGCTTGGTGGCCCTCAGGCCTTACCATCCTTCCTCACCTCCCACCTAGACAGCACTTCTCTCCCCAGCATCACTGTTTGAACGTACAGGTGCCTATCTGTGGTGCATGCTGAGGTTATCCCACAGTGGACTCCCTGAGCTGCTGGGCTGGGTGGTGGCACCAGCTGGCTTCTACCTGCAGGCAGGTGCTGTGAGCTGGGCCTATGCTCTGGATGTACCTCAGGTAGGGGGTGACACTGCCCCATGCCCAGGCCCTATACTTCTAGGCCACTGCCAACTTTATATTTAGGGGCATTTTATAAGCCCTTGCTGTGCACCAGGTACCTGCTAGGCAGGTTCATTTACTTATTCTCTATCGCCTGTAAGGTGGCTGCATGAGCCCATTTCACAAATGAAAGAACTAGTGCTTGGAAATAGGAAGGGACTTCGGCAGGGTCCAAGGGAGGCAGAGGTGGCAGGTGGCAGTGTGGATGGGAGTTGTATGTGCCTGGGAGGCAGACCTGAGCCTTCAGTTGGT